ACTTCAGGAGGTCAATCATATAACTTTACGTGAAATTTTTCACTTTTTATTTTTCACTTTTTATTTTTCATTTTTCACACCTTGACATTTCACATGAAACTTTTCATGTATAGAGATTATGTATGTAGCTTAGATACGGAAAGTGATACATAGTTTCATAGATTTTTATAGCTAATGAAAATTATTTTATTGGTACAGTATTACTACATCTTTTAATAACCAATTGTATATGTACTACGTACACTTAATCCTAACGCAGTTCTAATCTTCTCTAATTCCGAAGCATATTTATTAATTCTCTAGATTTCCGCCTTTCCGCCATCAAGATACATGGCGAAAAAGTTCACGTGAAAAATTTCACATTTTCACGTTTGAAAGAGTTACATAATCCCGCAAAATCGTACATGATCGTAAGTTCACGTGAAACTTCACTTTTCACGTTTCGCCCTAGGGGAAAAGTTACATGATCGACCCCCAGATCAAAGATGCCGACATAGAGTGAACCTACTGTATCTACTTATACTGTGACTGCGTCATCCAACCAAATTGTCTCAGCTACTCTACACAAATCCGTCTAGACTGTTATTAGACGATTTGATTGGTTGACGCAGTTTACGCAAGTTACGCTGCATGGGGAATTACCCTAAAAATGAGCATCGAGCGTCAGCATGAAAATCAACTTTATTGTAGTGTCTACCGGATAAGAAATCCGGGTATAGCCTTTGTCATATCGTACAACTGCACTATGCTGCGCGTGAGCGTAATCAGGCACAGCAGCTTTGTGTTGTTCGTCGTACGTTACGAATTATATATTTTAATTGTTTAAAAAGCATATTTATTTTGTTGAACATGGACTATAAGGATGAACAGCGCAACGAGATCGAAGCTTTGGAGTCAATTTATTGCGGAGAATTGGAAAGTACGTATCGAGTTTCAACTTATAATTTGTATATCTGATCAGAATGGACGAGATATGTTATCTAATGATAACACTGATTTTTCATTAAGAAGTTACTATTTACCACAAGTAATTCGAGGATAAATATCTTATAGTTTTGGCGACGGAACCGTTTTATACGTTTGCTATACCGATTAAAACAGAAGAATATGAACCGGAAACTGACAATGGTCTCGGTTGTCGATTAGAATTTACGTATACATCCAAATACCCTGACGAATCGTTGCTTATATCAATCGCAGAGCAAGAAAATTTTAAAAATGGTGACGATGAGAAATTGAAGGCACATCTGGTAGAACAGATGAATGAAAATCTTGGAATGGTAATGGTTTTTACATTAGTTAGTGCAGCTCAAGAATGGCTTAATGTTCGATGGGATAAAATTAAACTAATGAGAGAAGAGACTGCAGCACAAAAACTGAGAGAGGAAGAAGAAGCAGAAAGAGTAAGTTATTTTAATTAAATTTGTACATATAGGGGACAATTATAAGTAATATTTCTTTTTCTTTTCTATATAGAAACGATTTGAGGGCACTCGTGTAACTGTGGAATCTTTTTTAAGCTGGAAAGAGAAATTTGATGAAGAAATGGGCTATACAAAACGGAAAGAATTGGCAGATCGTGAAGGCAAGAAGTTAACAGGCAGAGAATTATTTATGACTGATAGGACATTGGATCAGTCGGATCTTAAATTCTTGGATGATGGTAACTTGTTATATTTTGTTTTACTTTATTTGTTGAATGTTATGAATACAGAAATATTATTGAAAAGTGTCAAGTGATGCAATCATTTTGCTCTTTATGTAGAAAAGAGTCGAGCAATATAGTTATGCTGGTTTTCATACATTCTTTTACTATTTATAAAAAATGGCAAAAATTAAAAGTGAAAGTTAAAATTTTAATTTAATAAGTCTGCTTTGAGTTATAATATTAACGATGAACTCTAACAAAATCTGAATATTAATACTGAATATTAATATTGAATACTGAATTATTATGATAGCATATTATAGATGATAGAAATAGCCGGATCACATGGCATTTATATGGTTATTTTTAATGATTCTTATTCCAAGAAATCAATATTGTATGATACATTTTTGATGCAGGTGATGTCGTAAAAGTAGATGAGAGTTTGTTCCAAAATCTGGATGATTTAGATTTAGACGATGAAGATGACCCAGACTATGATCCAAATATCTCGGATGATAGTGCCTAAATAAATTTGATTCAATAGCCATTACAAAGAGAAGTGATATATAGAACCAATTAACAAGGAATTTACAAAATCATTATAGAAAGAAAAAAAAGAATAAAAAATATATTTTAAGTACTAGAATGATTTCTCTTGGATACTATATCTAGTAAATAATGGCAATGATGAATGAATCATCATGGTTGAAACAGAAAATATATTTCTTCAACCAATGCTTTATTGAAAGATTCACATACACATCTGTACACACATCCATATACATACACCATACACAGAATATTTAAGGAATTAAATAATTTTTATACTTATGTACATAGATTATGTTTATAATAGCTTTGTTTATATAAAAAAAATGTATAATATTAATATTTGCCTTTTCCTTATGCTTCTTCCTTCCGTTTAATGCACCATGTGTTTATAAGATATATCATGTAAAATATTACAAGACATTCTCTGAAACTATTAAATTAACAATTCTTTTCTCGATTCTTAAAGCAATTACATTCTGTGAAAAAATATGCAGAAATACAATTTTACTATTTTCAGAAATTTAGGTTATAATATTACCTTATAACATATAAACAAATATCGCCTTTAACTGCCTTTTATGATGTAAAAATCACTGTTTTATTTAATAATTTTTTTACTATAAATTATTGAAATCGTTTAAAAATTCGCTAATGCATTAAAAATAGAATATACTATGTCATTTAAACAAAAAAATGGAAATGATATTGAAACTTTCAAAGCGTCTTCAGAAAAACTATTACAAACATTATGACTCTTGATGTACAATTTTCGTAATAAAAATATTTCCATATATAATAAATAGCGGAAATAATATAGATAAAATTATTGCCCCATTCTGTACACACATGTAAACATGGTATGAAATAAATATATATCATTAACGTATTTGGAATAACAATCAGAATTTAACATTTATTCATAATTTCTTAACATTATAACCTACATATTTTTAATAATTTACAAACATATATTCATGGTTTCAGGGAATCGATTTCCTGTAGTATATATATTGCCAAGATGTTTATTTGCATAATATACTTAACTATACATAAGATTCTTTATTTTCAGTTAATTAATAAAAATAATTAATAAAATTTAATTGATATTATCTATAAATATTTCTATTTCATACAAATATCTTAAAATTTATTAGAGTTGTAGCATTCTTTTTATGAAACACAAGAATGCACACAAAATATAAAAAATATTGGTTATATTGTTTTGATATATAATCATAACGGTTCTCTCTGATATTTCTTTGTAGTTTATTAAATATATAATTGCAACATTGTCAGTGATACAACTAACAATAAGATAAAAACTATTTTGTCATGTTATATGTGACTCTATTACTATGCTATTACATATATTTAAAAAATATTCTGCTGAAGGACTTCAATTAAAATAAAAAGCAATTGTTCGTTAATTATGATTAATGAATTTTAAAATCTAAAATAAATGTATTACTGTGCATGCTGTATAATACAGAATGATATTATACTATTATGAATAGCTTTTTGAATGTATTTTAAATATCTTTAAAAAAGAAATCCATAATGCATTGGAATATATAATAATTCAAATATCACAATTAATAAAAGAGAATAATTGTATACTATTTATAATTCTGTCAAACATATACATTAAATGTAATATATAAGTACATATTTATTCGAGTATATTTATGCAAAATAATATCGATAAATTTCTTAATACTCTCTCTAAAGAATATACTATAATAATTTACTTTCTGATTGCAAGAAATTAAATAAAGAAGTTTGTAAGTCAAAAGAGGTAATCATCTCATATTTAGAGTTTAGACTCGTGTCACAATCTGTTGAGAAAAGAATATAGTTAGTAACTCAAAACAGTAGCTCTATGAAAGTTTACCTAAGCGACGTACAAATAAATATACTTTTATTAATAATTATTAATAATTAAAATTATTTTTAGAAATACAAATAAAAAAATAGTTTGCCCTTGAAAGAGATATGTTTTCAATCGCTCGGATAAACTTAGGATATTTTAAAATATACAAGTTCAATATTATCTCTTAAATAAAACATTTTCAGTATATGCATATGTTACACTCATGCTAAATTATAAGGAATATTTTTGCTTATAGTTATAGTTGTTATAGATAATTATAGTTATACAGAAGCGTCTCCTATTATATCTGTAAAATCTTAGTATTGCACAGCATGCCACTCCCACTTGGAGATTTAATTATAATGCATATCTAAAGCAAAATATTAATTTAACAAATTATATTGCAACATAACATGAGATACATAGATTGCCTTTCTCATTTTAAGAAAAATAGTTTACTTTTTAACATTGTATCTTTGACTTATTATATGTGATTTATTTTGAGTTTTAAAAAATATTTTGATAATTTATTAAATAAATTTTTATAAAATATTCAAGAATATATTAGAAAGAAATTTAAGTGTAAATTATTATATTTATAATCACTACTTCTAATATCCATGCATCATTTTATTCTTAAATCAGACTTATAAAAATATTGAAAACTCAAATATTCTTTTTTTAAGCAGTTTAGAATGAAATTTATTATTGATA